CCAAGATTCGGAACTTTGCATTTTAATATATAGGATTTTCCTTTAATACATATTTTTTTTTCCATCAATTAAAATGAGAATAATCCATACAGGATGTGCAAACATTTCAAAATCATGAGTTGATGAATAACGCTGACTCCGCCAGATTAAATATTAGAGCCTAACACAAAGCGGAGCGGCGACGCACTGGCGCCTACAAACCTAACAGGGATACTTCACGCATTGCGCAACGCGTGAAGTATCCCTGTTAAGTTTGTAGGCGCGTTTCGCGCTGGCTGCCCGCCTGCCGCTGCGCAGCGTGCCACGGCGCTTGAAGCAACTATTTCACACCAGAGGTATTGCACAGTATCATACGAAGCTGAAGGCGCTCTAATATATTAGTAATGGCAGGCCTCTATCAAAAGTACGGAGCTTTCCTCGCATAATAAATCAAGATACTACGGCCCAAAAAGAGAGCAGTATTCCAAAAACTCACTAAGTCCTAGCATCCGTAATTAGTAACGTTTAGCATACACATTATCGCTTGGCTGTTGCTTGATTGCCATCGGCTGTAAAAGGCCATAAGAAATTGTGTAGCCGGCTGTAGAAGCTATTGGAAATCTTACAGCCGGCTGTGGGTCTATGGTATTTTGGAACACAGATTCTACTGCCAATTTTCACCGGGGATTCCAAAGGAGGCAATGGGAAATGACGGAATGAATTTTAAACTGAAAATAGTGCTGCTTCGATTAATTTTTTGATGGAGGGAAAGATAATGTTGAGACATTGTAAAATTTCCGAGTTGCCTAAGAGTGCTAACACCAACTCAAAGACACGGCGCAGACACTCACACAGAGGCAGACGAGGACGAGACCTGACGAGTTGTTGAATATTCCCCTCTGTGGATGGTGACGGTGGAAGCTCCCCTCCACGGTGGCGAGTTGGCTGGTTGTGAATGAATTGAGAATCCGGCTAGGCGGTCGCGTAGTGGGGCAGAAGAGCGTCAGAAGTTTCATATCCGTGCACAGGCCGATTCCGCGGCGGCATTCACAGCGGCAGCAAGTGGTGAGATGCACGTGCGTGCGTTCTGTTCCTCCGGGAATCCGGTTACCTCTCCCTGTGTTCTCAACACTTCTCAGCATCTTAGATTTTGGATTAAGTTCGCAAGTTCCAAGTGACTAGACTGTGTTTCAATGCGGTGACTTCCGGCCTCCAACCGGCGACCAATTTCTTCCGTGTGTGTTCTGCTCCTTGTTCTACGCCTCTCATGAATTTTCTGGTTTTTTAAATGTTAGTGATAATTGTTGCACACATCCCTGGATTATTCGGGAATGATTCTGCCCAAATCATTTTACATGGTTGTCTTTCGGATAATTAACAATTCGTTCTCATCGGTTGTGTGACCTAACTCGGATTTTAAGTCTCCTCGATTGTGTGGAAAATGTCTCCTCGGTGTCACCTCTGCCCGTGGAATCTGAACAGTTCAGTGAATTTCAAGTAAGTTTCCACCATTTTATGATTTGCGTGTTGCCATAAGTACTTAGTTTATAGCTCGCTGTCTTAGCTTTTCAGAATTTTCCCCTAACTTTTATTCTTATTTTTCCCAAACACCTTCATCAGTAGATTTTTAGGGTCGATTTCTCCAGTTCAATTCGAAAGAGGATTGAAATATGAGTTATTTTATTTTGACAAAAATGATCGGTTGCCAGGTTTTAATTTTAGCTTTTTGCGTCTATCAATCAACGACGGTTTATCTTCTGTCGGCGCATTTTAGGTAGGTTCTTCTCAGTGTATTAGAAATAAATGAAAGTTAGAATTTCTAGTACGCCATTTTATCTTCAACGTGGTGCCACCTATCCTATTGTCTGGCCAGAATTATTCCAGGCTCTTCCTTCACTTCTCTGCTCACTTTGTGGCGTTCGGCGTTCTGTTATTTGTTCTCTGTCGCACATCCTTCACCGGGCACTGAGTTGCTCCATTTAAGCGACGCCCTGCTTGCAATCAAGTAAACTACGTGTCCTTTTCACGTATGAGCCCCAGAGATTGCAGTCAAATGTAACATAAAATTTCACCGAGAGCCATCTCTAATCTCACCGGGATATTCTCTGATTTTCTACGCCACAATTATCAATTCATTTGCACATTCTCCATCCTGTAGTCCTCACAAACTCGCGTAGTCACAGTAGCCAATCGAAATCCTCAAATTGATCAAGGAGGAAAGCTTGGAGACTTAAACGCTGCGTAGAAAAGTAAACCACTCATTGACGTGACAACTCCCCATTCGTCCCGTCCAATTGGTAATAATTATTATAATCTATTTTCCTTTTAATGTTACACAAATCAACGATTTTTTCCCGTCCAATATAAACAAATGGATTCCTAAATTTCTTGTGAACTTCTTCCGATATCACTAGGCTATGTCTGAACCGGTTCAGAATTTTGGTTCTCCGCAACCCTTCCACAACACACCAAACTAACTACATACCTAGCTACTCTTCGTAGTGTTCTTATAATGGATATCACCCCTCTCTTTTTCCCCTATTTTTGCCGATCTCATGCTGAAATCGCAGGTATTACAAGATCATCTTATTTTGCATGCGTTGTTTCAATGTAGTCAGTCTCATAAAGGTGTGATGGTCCCTATCCCACTTATCTCCATTTTTAAGTGGCCACGTGGTCGCCTAAGGCAGCTGCGCATTCGCGAAATAATATGCAGTCTTTCCCCTCTCTTCGTCGTTTCTCGGATAAAGGAACGTAACTCCATTCCAAAGTTGCCAAATTGACCCACGCAATTTATTTTATTAAACGAATACACGAGCCGAATTTTCGTTCAAAATTTGCTCGATTTTCACATGATATTAGAAGAAAAATCAGTGAAATTTTGAATTAGAAATGCCCAAGATTCTCCGGTTAAAATTGCAATTTGCGAGGGTGAATTTGGCAACATTGAAATTCAGTTACGTTCTTTCGCGAGGGAATCGTCGTCTTTTGTAACAGGATGAAGGTGAGTCCCTGGATTCGCAGATCAATTTGTCCCGAGGGCTGGATTCTAGATCGTTCCAACTTCCAAGAAGTCCAGGACCACTTCTGAAGGTTGGTGGGCGCCGGCGACCCTCTCAAAGTACCCTGAGTATCCCCCTTGCTCTTGTCCTTTCTCAGAATCCCTTCGTATGCAGTTACCCCACGTATGCGGAATTTTTCTCAGATCTTCGCTTATTCGCAGCTTCTCTCTTGTTTTTTATCGCACCGGATCAGATTCTACCTCTCCCAGGCGCCAATTCTACCTCCTGAAAGGTGAGCTCTGGAATTCGGCCCCTGCAGTGCTGCCTCCATTCGTTCTGTTTGTGACTTCGTGGAGTCAGTTAGAATCGCACGAACAATTTTTTTGCAATTCCTCGCGGTTTCTTTCGGTAATTTTCACTTTCTCGCTCTCCTTGTTTTTTCGCTTTTTTTTCGAACAAAAAATTTCAAGGATTCCTCGGTATAACGCGTAGAAACTAATATTACTTCAATTAAAAATTTTCATTTTAGAAGTTGTAACGAGACTGGCTTCATTTCACCCATTAGGTACCATATCTCTCTGTCCTCATTGAGTTTTACGTCTGATTTTAGGGAAATATTTGTTGGTCTTCGGGCGTGAAATTTTTGTCGAATTCGAGAGACGGTCGCGCGATTTTACAATTCTGCACAACGTGACAGATTTTACAATACTGGAGCGCGAACTTTTTTTAAGAGTATTCTGTCTTGAAAGAACGAGATATTCCAACTATTAAGTACGTTAAACGACAGGGAGAGCATTTAGTAAGTACGGGTTTAATTGTCATTGAGAATAATCGTTTAGTTCGGATTAAAAGCCACGTGGTTTATCTTGAAAAGGTTTCGTTTTTTACTGTATTTGTTTAAATTTGGTTCTCTCTTGTGGGTGCATGACGTTGATCTATTACCACCACCTCATGAGCCATAGAAAGTAGCAATAAACGATTTTGACTACCGAAACGCAAAAATTCATAGGACACGCCCTCGAATTTCGTCCATCCGATTTACTCAGCAGCCGCATTGAAATTTTCTCCTTCCTTTCGTATTTTAATGCAAAAACAGCTCTTAACTGGAGGGGATGCCACACGCAGTACCTCGGATACTTAAAGATTAACGTCGAAGTCCATATTTCCTACAGGGACAAAAATGTGATTGCAATATCAAATTGTTTACACAGAGATAAAATTGGGAGTGGTATATTGTCATACCCCTGCATATTCCGAAATTTGAGGCATGGAAAACGGACTGTAAAGTCCGTAGAGTTTACAGTGAAAGACGTCAAAAAACATAATTTCAATCAATCTCACACTGAAACAATATCTCACTGAAAATTAGCAACAAATTGATCTAAAGGCGCTGACAGTACATTACGTTTGAGGAAAGATAGGAATATTTTTCGGTGAAATTATCATTATAATTTTATTAAATTGTGTAGAAAATTGTTTGTAAACGTAAAGATTGAGGGCTCATATAGTTGTCCAGGAAATTCATATTGAATCCAAGAAAATTTGGCAACGCTCGAGTGTCTAGACGGCCTTTTTCCGTAACCCCTCTGTGTTCATATCCGAGTAAAGGACAGTATTATCGGTGATAACGCCTTGATGCAACTATACGTGCTCTCTGGACGTCCGTGTTGCGTGCGTCAAACTGAAGGCGCTCCGGTCGTTGTAGCTCGCGTTGTGCTCGCAGCCACACGCTGTCACGACTCGGTGTGGCGGTGAGATCCAATAACCAGATTTTTTAAAATAGTGGAAAAATATATTTTCCTGTCCTCCTGCCTTAACGTATTCGTAACAATTCACCAATGTTAATGTTTTGCAGTTCCTCGGTTAAAAACAACGTTTCGACGGTGAAATTACGGGAGCACGTATCTCGTTTGCGTTGTTTGAAAATCCCCGCTGCTGTTTTATTTTTTTGAAAGAGAACAAATCAATAACAATCCTTGCAGTTTTTACAGAGTTTTCTTCGCAAAGAGAAAAAAAATCACGACAGTTTTCAAGAATTGACGTTGAGTAGTTTTCCATTATCAAAATAAAGTATGACCTGAAGAATGCGATGTCGCAAACCGATCACACATCACACGTGAGACCACCGGATCACACGTGAGGCCACCAGATCACGTGTGATGTGGTAGTTTCACCGTCGATAAGCCCTACTTCATTTACAGCTTCAATCTATGTAAAATCTACTCATCTGCAACTACTTACTGAATTTCACTCAACCTCTTGAATTGGTGAACGTTTCTCCTTCTGAACCACTTCTAAATCTCTCACTTTTCCCATACCAGGCTGGTTAAAAATTGTGATCGTTTGATCAGTTCGAGTACCTAATATTTTAAGAACCTATTTTTTTTCTCAATGATTATTTGACATCCATAGCAATTTAGGTAGTAAGTAAAAATCAAATAGCTGAGCTGTCTTTTAGTCCCCCAAACTAAATTCCTTTACTTTTGTGTAGGACTGGTAAGAACTCAATGAACCCACCTCTATTTTTATTTACGAACCTCTCAAGAGCGAGCAGGGACCCGTTGCCCACTTCCCTCAAGTCATTATGGATAATTATTCAATTAGAAGCCATCAATCGGATTTCATGGGTTTATTCATTCGGTACCCATATGCACGTGGATTTAATAAAGGTAAAAACCCCACAACTTAGATCTGCCTCCCTCTCCTTTCGTCAGGTTTACGTAGAATTTTCCACTCCTGTGTCGGAAGCCCGTAGAGTTTTTCCAAGTTAAATTAAGGAGCTCGGAGGACAAGCCGCATGAGTGAAGTTTGTTCTTTTCAAGAGATGCATGTTTAAAGTTTTTAACTTAAATGGAGCCTCATGGCAGAAGGAAAGCTCTCTAACTCCCTTTTATGCTTAAAATTGGATTTTAGCTGTGAGTTTTTCACAGTACATATTTTAAGACCAGTTCTAGTTGAAACCTTTAACATCAATTTAAAAAAAAAAAAAAAAAAAAAAAAAAAAAAAAAAAAAAACCTGCATTTATGCGCCTTGCCCCTAAGCCCGTGAATTAAGCACTGAGCATAGTGCACTATTAATTTACCGTGCAACTTTCCTCGCAATTTCAAACAAGGAAAACGCGTATCCTGTCTTGACCAAGTGAGTCACGGACTTCGGCGAATGTCCAGCGCTAGCCAGCCGAAAATACCCGTGGACGGCGCATACCTTTATTCCGAGAAAAAATAAGTTTCGTCTGACTCACAAGCTAGTCATCGGCGCGCCGAGCCGGAGCGAAGCTATCCCGACGGAACCATCTTTTATTCCCCCGAGCCTTTTCTGGTGGCAACCCGGCATGAATTCCTTTCCTTACAGAGAGAGTTGCGGGTTAAAATTGAAAACCGCATTCCGCGCTTAATTTCCCGGCCGGCCGTCAGAGCGCTGCACTTTCCGATGCCCCCGTTCGAGTCTCCGAAGCTCGCCGCTGCCGCTGCCGCGGACGGCCGCCTCAGTTCGTTTCCGTTCCTCGCCGCGAGATTTCACGTGGTCGCGGTCCACTCGTCCTCAGCCCGCACTTGGACACTTGCAGTCATGGTCACCTCCGATCCAGCCGTCTCATCAATTTCAGAGAGGAAGTTTGCTGTGCCTATTGCGTTTCGTTGTTCATCGTGTTTAATCGAATCATATGTGTGCTGTTTTATTATCGCATCACTTCGAGGAGACTTGCAATTTTTATTCGATCGCATTCCTTTCAAGAAGTGTGATATCATCGGAATCGGCCCACTTTACCACGGGAATATCGATAACGTGTGCGGTTCTCTTCAGTGTTTAATATTTCGCGAATTTCGGAAGTTTCTATGCTCGTGTTTTATCTTTTATCCGCTCCGACTTTTCTCCTCGTGGAATGGATCACCCCCTACTTCCGCTCGATGCTCAGATTTTTCGGATGAGTGATAGCAAGTGAACACGTTTCCCTTAAACTTTGGCCTAACTTATTTGAAACCGGTTGTAAGTTCTGATACACTCATACTATTGAGCGTTTCTTTTATATGAACGTTCTGTGGAACAGACTTGCGTGACTTAAGTTTGCAAATTCCAGCTCAGGGATACCTTTTCTGAACTTCTGTGGGGCACTGAAATGGCCACGTGGTGTTCGGGGTCATTTTCGCTTCATTGCACACTCACCAGCTGCAGTTCCTTGAACCCCAGGTCGGTGTTTTCTAAATACTTCTTTTTCTCATTTTCGGTTTTTCGTGTTTTTGTTGTAATAAAATTTGTTCGTTTAGGTCGGAAATTTTACTCGTGTGCAGTCATCATTTAGTTCAAGTCACTGATAAACTAAACGTGGCTCCCATTTTCTTCCGAGTTTTTCTCTCAAATCTTTTTTTTTTCTCAATTTCCATCCACTGGTTTTGTCTTAATTCTGATCAATTTAATGGAGATTTTATCAGGGGGTAGAAAGTTTCAGGTTCTTTAGTTCTACGCATCAGGACGTACTTATAGATAGCGCGGTCGCCTTAATTTTCTCAAAATTTAACACGGTCGCATTAATTCTACGAAAGTTCTCACAAAATAATGCATTCTTAACAAGTCTTTTAACAACTAACAGCTTCTGAACTATTAGCAGTTGAATTTTCTCCAAAATTCCACATCAACGCGGTAATTTATCAAAAAGTCTATGCTTTTGCACCAGTTGTGTAATATCTTATCAGCGCGTTTCCACTTATTTTTAAGAAACATCAACACCCCTGTCTCATTATTTATCCTACTCAGTGCGTTGAGCGTTCATTTTTTGAATGCCACTGAATTTTTGATCCGTGTTACCGAACGTTCGGTTCATGAAGTAGAACTCATTTCATTAGTTCTTTTAATCTGCGTAGTTCGGTTTCATAAATTGAAGGTTGGGTTTGAAGAGCTAAATAGTTAAATTATAGGGACAAAATTGAACACGATGCTTTCCTTCATTTTACGGATATGCAATTTTACCTCCTTGGAAGTCAAGACAGGTGTGCATCTACCACGTGTTTCGCCCTGTCCAACTTTTCTACTTCGCGTTAAAGTCTCTGAGTCAGCCGAAAAGAGACACGTTCTCCTTCATTTTGTGCGGGTATGCAATTGTATCCCTTTGCAAGTGGAAATTATCGACGTCGAAAACCCTCAGAGACTTTTGTCATTGTGAAGAATCCATTGCGAAGAAAGATTGATGAAATCCAAGTCTGCGAATAAATTGAAGGGCATGAATATGAGTAGAGGATTGAACAGTTGGATCGAATTTATCGATGAGAAACTAAGATTTCATTTTATGTATCCATCCTGACGTATCTGACTGAAGGAGAGTAACTATTTTCCAAGTCTTTCTCCCTATAAAGAAATTAATTCCCTACGAGTTTCAGTTTAAAATTCATTTTTTACTGTTTCCATCACCCCCTTTGGAACTGGAATCATCCGAGAGTATTAAATTCATCTAGGCTCATCGGTTAACAGAGAAATAGCGCTACAAACAAAATAACGTGTTGTATAACAACTGAGGAGCCTTTCTAAAGATGAACACAGCATTTGCATGAATCGCGGAGCGTAAAACAATTGAAGAATGTACGAAGTTGGGTTCAAACCCAACATGCAACTATTTTAACTCCGCGGTGAGCCGGGTTGCATACTCTCAATTCTGTGGGCGAAATCTGAGATGCGCTTACGACTTTCGCAATACGGGTGCAACTAGTGTTTTCGTCGAGCGTAAAATCTACTTTGGCGAATGCACCTGATTTGTCTCAGTAGTGATCATGCCGTCTCACAAGATTTGCACCATCGCACTAAGACCATTACGTTCAATAGGAGTTTTTTCTACGTATAGAATCTACAGCTTTCCACATACTTACTTTTTTGAGCACCTTAGAAGACTAATTAATTTTCTGCTTGACTTTCTGTCCGCCAAGAATGGTATGTTATTTTGGTACATTCCTTGTTGCAGTCGCCGCTTTTTTTAGTGCACTGATGTAAACGTGATGTGATCATTCGTAAGGTTTTTCGATATAAATAGATATTCTGAAGGGGAAACAACGATCTATTGGAGAAGGTTGACTGGGATTGCACGGTATATACAGCCATTGAACTGTGGTTGATCTCATGGTCGTTTCTAAAAACTGGTTTCAGGCTTCATTAGGCCACCGCAGTAAGGATCTAGGAATCCTCAATCCTCTTCCACATTCCCTAGTTTGCACCGGAGCTCTTATCGCCTGTTCTCCGTTGTAACTCTTGACCTTGATGATGAGCTGTTCCCTCGGTCCCAAGGAGATATCGGTTCGATTTTGAGCCTCCATCAACTGCTTATCGAGCGACCTTAATCTAGCGAGAGCATTGACATGACGGTTTGGGCTTTATCAACGAAGGTCATTCGGTAGAGGAGAGATGAGTCTGTAATGAACCCGGTTTGTAGATTCGTCGATTCCAGAGATGGCAGCCTTGAAAATACAGCGGCAGCACTCATGACTCTTTCGGCCAAGCAGTCGTCGGAGAACCCCGCTCCTTCGCGTGTTTGATTAATTTTACACCACCGGTACACCCCCCCCCCCCCCCCNNAGTAATTTCATGACCAGGGATGATGTGTGTTAACAACAGAACCCCAGAAAATATACATGCCGAGCTTATTCCCCTCTCTACAGAGGCAGAGAAGCTCCCTTAATTACTACATCGACTTCATTTTACAATCAGGAACTACAATTTCTGGCTCATCCGTTAAAACACTAATGCACTTAGGAAAACCAACGGTACAAACGTTGTCTCCATATTGAACCAGGTATTGAAGTTTCGAATTTCAAAATGTAGTTCCAATGCATCCGAGTGGACTACATTTCGAAACACGGAGCTACTGCCTCTGTTTCATCCATAAAAGCGCTCGTCGGCGAAAGGAAACTTATGAAACGTACGTTGTTTCTGAAACAAGACAGAAATAGTAGTTTTCTGGTGCAAAATGTAGTTCAACTGTTGATTTCTTTCCGATGAATTTTTATTGGCCGATTGTTTTCGGATAGAGGAACGAACACATGAACGTATTTATGCCAAAAGGAACTATGTCTCACGCCAAACCCTATGCACATAGTTCCTTTTAGCATAAATCCGTCCAGTGACTTCGCAACGACCGAGGACGCATGGCGGGCGCGGGCGTCGTTATGCGGGAGTAAACCTTGCGTGTGTGGTGGTGTGCGTGTGTGTGGTGGTGTGCGTGTGTGCGTGCCCTACTTGACGCGTCGGCGTCACGTGGTGCCGTTGGTTTGATGAGAGTCTGCTCCACCGATGGTTCACAAGAACGGATCCCTGTTGTTGTTGCGGTGGTGTTGTCTCATGCCACGCTACGCCCACGGGAAATCCGCGGCTGCGCTTCCATTTCCAGTCTGATTTACTTCGTTTCCTCCCTACGCTACACCTCGAGTTGTGGCAACGTCCAAGCTCCAACGTTGCCAGATTGGTGCTAAAACCTACTTAAATGGGGATATGTGCTGAATTTCCAGATTAATTTGGCAACATTGTTGCTCCGATGCCTCCCACCGCTCCTCGATGAGATTTGCGCTGCTTGTCGCTTCGACCCGTCACACTGGAGAAAAAAGTCGCTTGGATCTTGAGTCCAGACTTTTAATAACATTGACAAGATAAAATACTCATGATTCAATCGGATTTTTGTTTGAATCGAAGAGCTATGCCTCTCGATTTGAACGGATTTCCTTTTGATTCAAGCAAAAATCTGATCGAATCAAGAGTATTTTTTCCTGTCAATGATTTTAAGAGTCTGGACTCTCTGGATCCAAGCAACTTTCTTTCCCAGTGCGAGATGGAGAAGTTCGGCTTGAAGAAGTTGCTTCGCGACACTGTGCTCCAACCTTATTGTGGGAGGGTGGACAGGGTTCAGGCGGTCTGAAACACCCGGAAGCGAAGAAATTACGGAATTGAAACTTTCAAGTAAAGAAATTCAAAGGCCGCGAAGCGGTCAAGGGGCTGAGCTCCTCAGTATGACGGAATAAACATCAAGAATTGCCGTCGTAGTAAATGTCATGTTTTATGGCTTAATCTACCGTATGGCGGTGGTTCTGTCTGTCATGACGTCAGCACCGATCGATCAGTTGAAGATCGCGGTTTGATGAGCGGTGGTACCGCCGATCATTTAAGGGGGAAAAAATCTCTTCCCTGTGACGTAATATGGATAGGGTCTATTATGGTTGCGAAAACTATGCAATTCCATTGGACCGGTTTTTTCTTCTCTGTGTCACTTTTTTTTGGCACCTACCAAGTTCTAATCCAACCACCCTAAAAGGAGCTGTGGCCACCTGCGGTTCGATTGTCGAATCGTCAGCGAACGACCTTGATCGATTTATAGCATTGCAACGATAGGGGCTTATCGTTTGAAGTCGTTCGATAACGGTTCGAAAATCGAGCCTGCTATTCAGCGAGCAACCCGAAAATATGAGGCAACTCATGAAGTTGCATTTCTGCCGTGCTGAGGATAAACCCCGTATGAACATTCAGACGTTGCCAAGTCTCCCCCCGTTAAGCTGCGTATTTTGAAGGGTGGACATGAATATTTCTCCCGTACATTTTCAGACTCTATCGATGAAATTGCGAACAAAACGCACCGCGAAGTTGGAAGTAAAATGTACAAAAGTTTCTCGGAAAATCTGCATTTCGTCACAGGGAATTTGGAAACGTCTGAAGGTTCTTACGGTTTTTTTCTTGAGCACGACGGATCTCCTCGTCGCGTCGCGCAGTTTGGCTCAAGACGAAGGTGTGGAAGGAACAGACTGCCACTGTCTTGTTAGGGAAGAGAGCCGTATGAGCCACGGTTAGCCCATGCTTGAATTTGTCTCGTGGCTCATCCCAGAATGTGCTTACTGCTCTTTTGCGCAAGACGGCGGCAGAGGGGAGAGGCCGGGGCTGGCTATCACCCATTCAATTTCGTGGCTCATTATCATCTCCTCAATATGCATCCGTTTTAAGGTCCTATTTAAATGCGTGTAACATTTGTCCAATTTAATATTCACACTGCTCTGAGCTACTTCTGGGACCAAGTCCTTGCCCATTGTTTAATTTGTCTGACGGAGTTGTTACGAGCTACATTGTAGACCTAAAGCGATTACTTCATTAATGTCCCCCCTCCCGACTCCGCGCATTCCTCCGCCTTTTTTTCTGTCTCTTTTCCGGGGCTGACCTGTTTTCTATCTACCTGTTTTACAATTCGAAGCTCCTATGCCTTGTCTCAAATTTATTTATCAGAATTCAGTCGGGAGTCGGTCTTAGATTGCGTGTACTCTTGCGCTTATCATCGTTTCCGAAACGGAGGAACGTAACCTCATTTCAGGGTTTCAAAATCGACTTAGAAATTAATTTTCTTACCAGAACATGAACGCGCCGTTGCCGTCCAAAAATTGTTGATTTTTGTCTGTGATGAGAGAAAATATCGCAACAATTTCCAATTAGAAATGCCTGGCAGTTCCGTAGCTGAAACGTGATTCGCAAGGGGTAATTTTGCAACGTGGGAGTGTAGTTACTTACGTTTCCCCTCATAGTTATCACGAGGTGAGGTAAGGTTAGTCGCGAATACATGCCTCTTTTCTCTTTCGTTCGATCTGGGAATCGTGCATGGTTATTGAGTTCGATCTATTTCGGGTTGAAATCGAAAATCGCGACTCTGTTGTTCTAATGCTCTTAGTTCCTTCTTCTTGAGTAGTTCGCAATTGGTTTGTTACCCTCACTGATGCGTTTCAGCGCTTGAAGTTATTGCCCTTTTATTGGTGAAAGCCCTATGTGAAGAGGAAGTGTCTGTCTTTTCATGTTAAAATCACTTTTCAACCATGGATTTTTGTAAATGCTCTTTGAGCGAAAATGTCCAGATCGTCTCGCGATTATTCACTTTTGCCCTCCTTTCGACCTGCTTAAAAATAATAATAAGCCCCTTTTTTCTCGTTATCAACAGGCATTCTTCATGTTCATGTACGAATAGAGGAATATCTTACTATCGATTTTATCAATAGTTTTGATAAGTCCCTCGGAGTATTTGTTTCTTTCTCCCTCTTTTCGCAATGGCGTGAGTGTCGTCTAGACAAGTTTGATTAAAGTAGATGCTCTTGGAGTGCGAAAAGAGATCATTGATTGGTGAAACGGCATCTTCTCTGAAGTCACGCCCTCTTGACCTCGTTGGCACAAGTCGATTTCCGGTTTGAAAACCAGAAAATTAATCGAATCGAATCCACTCGGCAAAATCATCCGTTGGGCCACTTGACTGTGTGAGTGGGCTCCGTTTGTTCGGCTTTTCTGCTCGAGTTGGATACGCAACACCAGGGGTCGATAACCTTCTGTGCTTTCCACATTATTCGCGACCCACGGCAACGAGTGCTTTCACAATTGATACCCTTTTCTCAAGTATGTGAGACACTTTTTCTTCTTCTTTTCGGAGGGAGGGGGAACTGTGGGAGGCTTCCACGCCACAATTTTTAAATTTGAAGCACCCATCGCGACGCAGAGGCAGAAACAAATATTCGGGGGCTCTCCACAAAGACAACGATCCTAGGATGTCAATTCCTTGCGAAATCCTAGTGTAGCAGCGCTCTTAGCGATGCGCCAGCCATGGTAGCGTGGTCGAGTCATCGTCACAATGTGACGCGCCTTCAATCCAGCTGGCGGCAATATGCTTACACCCGTGGTCGAATAGTTATCTCGTAGAGCCTTCCCGCAATGAAGTTCAAGATCGATGGCTACTTGCGAATATAAGTTTATTTAGGTATCCCCGATTGCAACACTGCACACATCCGCACATATTTCATGTATTTTCAATTATTTTGTTTTTGTAAAAGCATAACTTTGTTTTTCTTAAATTCTTGTGCGAATTTTCCGTAATAATTTCAAGTATTTTCATAGAGAGTTTCAAGGCGATAATTCGGTACCTTCCTATTTTTCTTTTTTCTTTTTTAAACAAAATTAAAATTTTACATGGTTCGAGTTTCTGAACGTTGCAATCTGGCTACTTACAAATTCCTCAGCTTATGATAAAAACGGAAAGAGCGTCGTGAATAATAACGCGTGATCCTAGTTACACTTCACGGCGCTTTTATGAGGCTCTGTAAATCTTGTGGACTTGGACCTCAAGTCGATTGGGTCCAGGTATTTAGCACGGCGGCTTAGTCGATTAGAGGCGAAAAATCGGTTTTTGAAATTTCGACGGAAGGAGGAGAGGAAATCAGATATCTAGAGGTGAACTTTACTAAGTTGAGTTCCAAGCTCGGAGAATGATTTAGACGGCGTCGATTCAGCGGTTCAGCCTCATTTTCTTCTCGGACGTGTAATTATCGGCGATAATTACTCAGACTTCTGTCGAGCGTGACACCGACAACTCCGGAGGTCTTCTCTTTTGACTCCTGCTCACCCGTCGTATGATACAAGAAGGGCCGACGCGCTTTTATTGAATGTTAATGAAATTTCGATACGTTAATAATTGAGATTGTTTCAGGGTACCTGTCGTGAGTTGATCGAATCGGTATGTTATTATGTAGATTAGTAGATGAGCCGGGTCAAACCTCTCGCCCCAGTCGTTGAGGTCCGTATGGGCCCGTTCACTCTGCGCAATCCGTTGTTGTCCGGATGAAGGAACGGAACTCCATTCCGAGGCTCCAGAATTGACTCGAACAATTTAATTTTTTACAAGACTGCACCTGTGCGGATTTAGTAAGGAATTTTTTGGACTTGTGTATAAGATCAGAAGAAAAGTCAGTGAAATTTTCAGGCAGGAAAGCCCAAGATTCACCTGGTGAAAGTGCATTCTTGGGAAATTTGGCAACATTGATTTGCAGTTACGTTCTTTCGTGAGAAAAACACTCATTTAGCGATGCTTTTTTTTTTTAAACAATCGTCACGATAAATCGATGGATATTTTTGGAAACAGTGTATATTCATCGCCATGTTATAATATTTGATATCTACGTTTTTTTTTTTTATTTTTCGAAGAAAACTCATCAAAATGTGTCCTCAAAATTGTGTGAATATGCTTAAACTAGTGTAGACAATGCACCGAACATGTCGAGACTAACTGTTGGGATTAATGTTCTTGCTTAAGAAAGCTAAAGCAATAGTCCTTAAAGTGAAATCAACGTGGAAATCGGATTTTTTACTTCAACTATCGAAGTGTTTTCTGATTCTCTGTCCGTTCGAATCACGTGGCTCCAATGGAAACGCAAGCTTCGATTATTTACAGCACACGTCAGACAGGTTTAATTTGCGCATTGGATTCGGCGAGTAGCTACAATCAGTCGTAATATTTGACTGCGCAGTAATCTCTCTTTGACTCAGCGTGACTCCTCGCTCCGCACCTTATCCGGGCAACCCAAGGCCCTTCCCATGCTAAGGGACGCCATTTCAAATGTTGTGCTTTTCAGTTTTGTGAGAGTTTCAAAATGTTCAGATATTTTGAAAACTTTTTTTTACTATAACCCGTCCAAATGAAAGTAGTATGGTCATTTGGAGATTTATTTGTTATGTCCGTCCTTTTATTCTTTGTATGACACGGAAGTTTTCGACGAACAACTTGTGTAGACCGTCGAATCTTTCGGCCCAACAAGTTTAGATTGACTGATGATTTGTCTTTCATAAGTTGATGGGTCTTCCAGCCTTGACATAGCCTTGTTCTTCTCCTTATAACATTTTTGGTGCCCTCCTAATTTTTCTCTCGATTTTTGTTTCAGCGCTTGTTGATCATCTTCATCGATGTCGCCCGTCTGCTAGCAACCGTGAGTTATACTTTTTTACTTTTTTTAGTTTGCTCCCCCTGCTCTAAATTACTGCAGACGCGTAATGCCATGTGCGTAAGCCGAATCCCTGGTTGCTCGAAACTGCGTAGGCCGAGGAACTTTTTGCACCCCCCGCAGGAAGTTCATAGCGCTCCCATATTTCAATTGGTTGCGTCGTCGAGAAGTTTTTGCACCCCTTGTGCGATCGTACCGAATCCAATGGGACTACATTTTGCAATTAGGAATCACTTTTTCTGGCTCATCCGTAAAAACGCATACGTCTATGGAGAAACTAAGAATACATACGTCGTTTTTAAACTCAACCTGAAATTGTAGTTCCTAGTTTCAAAATGTAGTCCAATCATGGTGAAGTGAAAAGAGGACATATTTTTGCTGTCATTCTGCATCTCGTCTCAAAAGACACCCATAGTTTTCTATTAAACGGCTAAAGGCCTGGAAATAATTTCTTCACTTCTCTAGAAACGAATACCACAGGTTTTGGCCCTTTATAGCTCTCCATCGTAGTTTGAAAGATTGTGAGCCCAGGAATTGAAGGAAAATAATTTTCTCTCCGGTGGAAACTGGCTTTCGTACCCGGAAAAGAAAATGGGTTGCCGTCATTTTCGTGGGAAAATTTCTTGAAAAACCGCCAATTCCTGAGAATTGTTGAAAGTTACTGAAGTTTGTTATGCAATCGAATTCTTGTACTTACTTAACTCGCGGCAAGATTTGGACAGGTTTCCCGGGAGTACTTGTGAACTTCTTCATTTGAAAATTAAGAAATTTTGCCAGCGGGATATTATTTTTGGAATTCATCTTTCTCTTTTCTTTCGTTGGAGATTCGAGAGCGTCCGAAATCAATCGGAGGCCTTTTGCATTATAAAGTTTGACAAAAATCCTTCTCCCTTCATTTTAACATCCGTGCCTCAAGATTCCTTTCCTCCAGAACGGCCACGAAGAAATCCAACAATACATAGAAGTAAGGATTTTTTCAAGTCTTTCTCTCAAGTTTACCTTAAGATTGCTCCAACCGTAGTCTTTCCGACGAAGAAACGTACTTAACTTCATTCCAGGGTTGCCTAATTGACTAAAACAATTGATTTATTTTACTAAAATGCACTTTGCAATTTTTAATCCAAATTCATCTGATTTTTGAATGAAATCCGAGGAATAATCTGTGAAATTTTCATTCAGAAATGCCCGAAATTGCCCTTGTTGATATGCAACTTGCGAGGAGAAATTTGGCAGTATTGAAACGAAGTTACGTTCTTTCGTAGGAGGAACGACGAAGCCCTTGTGTTGTCATCACTGGATGAGCGGCATTGGTGATTCGTACAAGTTGGCAACACTGCATTTCTTTCATTTACACACACACACACAACACAACGCATACGTGAGGCAATTGGACGTATTTATCCTAAAAGGAACTACGTGCATAGGGTGTACATGCGACATAGTTCCTTTTAGCCTAAATACATTCAAGTGATTCCCGGTGATCGATATTTATCGTGGCTTTAAATGGAGGGAACATAGTGTTATTCATAACTCTCTTCAAAAATAAATATTTTATTGGAGGAAATTTGGCTTCTCTCGAACGTTCATATGGCGTTTTTTCTTAGCACGGCGGTACTACCCAGCGAGTATCGTCCTTACTGACCAATTGCCTTTGATTTCCTACCCGCGCATATGGTAACTACCCAATGGACTTTGCAGGACTTCCTTCTTAATCATGGGAGCAAACAATTTAGCCAAGTTTTTTCACATTTTCTTTTGCAAGCTGCTCCTTTTAAAATAGGTAACTCAACGTACTTATTTCTTACACCGACTTTAGTCAATTCCCACTATTTTATACGCAGGGGCAGTATACAAACTATTATGTTATGACCCATCCATCGAATTCGAGGAATGTAAACAGCTAGGTCCGTGGTTTTTGGTGATTAATCCTAAAGGCTCGGCCACATGAGCAACTGTTCGCGGAACTTTTAGCTGCGCATCGTTTATCCCCCCTTTCATGTGCACAGACGGGATAAGTCACAGCTTACAATTAGCCATAACTTATTCAGCGAAAGTTCGGGAATTGCGCGTGTGGACGAGTCCTAATAGACTAACTGACTTTTGGGGCTTGAACAACTAGGCGCACAAACGAACTTTTTGCTGTGTCCCGGAATACGTGTCTACAGCTTTACAGTTACACGAAGCCTCATGGCAAGAGGAGAGTTCTATCTTAATTTTCAAAGCTCAAAATTGAATTTTTCATAGAATATAATGTAAGACTACTTTTAGTTGTTGAAATCATTGATACACAATTTTTAAGAACCGTACATATTCGCCTTGTTCTCCAAACCCCTATTTTATCAGCACCTCCTCGAGTCTCGAGTTATTTCTTAGCCGAATAAGCACCTATACTACCATGCTAAGAAACGAGCCTTCAGACGTTGCCAAGTTTCCTTCGATAAAAACTTATCCACCGGGAAAATTGTAGATATTTTCCCCCAAAATTTTCGGACTATTTTGTACGCAATTTAATCTAAAACATCTGAAAATTACAAGAAAAATGTGCATAAATATCGTGAAAAATAAAGGCTTTATCAAGGGAAATGTGGCAGTTCTGGAATGTTTATACAGCGTTCTTCGTTAGCACAGCAGTATACTGCCGTGCTAAGTAAAAACGCCGTATGAACATTCGAGAGTTGCGAAATTTCCCTCGATAAAACATGTACTTTTGACGAAATTTATACATATTTTTCCAAGAAACTTTCAGATGCTTTGGAATAAATTGCGTAAACAAATTGTTTGAAAATTTTGGAAACAAATATTCACAATTTTCTCAGTAAATTCGGTTTTTATTAGAGGAAATCTGGCAACGCCTGAAGGTTCACACGGCGTTCTTCGTCAGCACGGCAGTACAGTCGTTTGATGGAGCAGTTTTTGAAGCGAGTAAATCAAAGCCGAACTGTTGGCGAATCAACGGTTTGGCGAATCATGGTTTTGCGAAGGTGAGCGTTGACCGGGAGAAATTCCTGAGCGCGGGCGGAGGGAAGATACAAGTGCGAAGTCTTCTCGAGGATACATTGTCTCTGCGTTCACGTTGTCGCTTCTCCGAAGAGATCGTGACGACGCGCCGAGCTCGGCCGCGGCCGCGCTGAATAGGAAAACGAGAGAAAAGAATTTCGTAGAAGAGAAACCGACTTGCACGGATGGGTGAGTTGGGTGATGGGCGTAGTTTTCGGCCCCTCCGCCTCGCCGCCCCGCCGCCCCTTTTGGGCGCTGCATGCCGCCCTGGCGCCTGGCGCAGTGCCGCACCGCGGTGTAGCGTCGTCGTCGGCGTCGCACAATAGGACTGAGTTGAGCAAAAAGGAACCAACCCACATTTTGGGAAAAATTGAGTTATGAGCAGTTTTGAACTCAACCACTGCTTTACTATCTATCGCCAAAAATTCAAAGTTTTCTTTGGAGCAAATTTTGCAGAAATTGAACTTGAAGTTTATCTTTTACATTGAGTCTTATGCAGGAGCTAAACTTTAAACCTCTTTTTCTCGGTTCGATCCCGATGTGGCTTGGTTCCTTTCTGTTTAACTCCGTCCAATAGATCCAGTAAATGGGGGAGGTCGGGCAGAATTTAAAAAGTTTAAAAGCTTATAACTTCGTTCATTCAATGTCTGGAGGTTTTAGAAGTGGCTCAATTTGTTTCCTCGTGACACTCTCCTCTAGGAACACCCCTTAAAGTTTAATATGTGACAAAATAAACATAAACATTTGCAGTTTTAGTATACAATTTCATGTCCGACCCCTGTGATTGGCTCGATCCACTGTGCGTCGGCTCAGAGTCACTTGGACCTAGGTATAGGTCAGTGCCCTTATTATTGGGGAGCATGGTCTCGTTGCTATTAGGAGCGTTGACCTTGTTTGTTTTCACAGTAACCCGCGTTTACTCACTGGATAACTTTTTGCCTCTGCGCTCTGCACAATCCTTCCCTGCTCAGAAAAACCGCCATGTGAGCCTCAAGACGTGGCCATATTTTCTTCGAATAATTCAGCATATTTTTCTTTAACTTTTTAGACAGTTCTCTCGACAATTCAATTCTAAATATCTGAAGATTTCGAGGGAAAAAATGCATAATTTTCCTCAAAACTAAAATATTTTATCGGAGGGACTTTGGCAACTTTTAATTGCTCACACGGCGTTTTTCCTCCGCATTGCAGAATTGAAAATCTGTTTTCCCCTCTCTCTCGTTCTTTGATAGTTTACTGATCTTGATTCACCAAATTATCGTTTGGTACCCAATGTGTTCGCGTGCATTTTCTTGAGAAAATACCTTGTTTTTCGTGTCCCTGCAATCTCCTCAGATGTCGTACAGCGAAAGCTATCTCGGTGCTATGTTCATTTTAAAGAATATATTTTTTAAAGTTGCTTTTGACCCTGCAAGTTAAGATTCTTTGAGTATTTTAGAAGGTTATGAATTTCACTCAGAAACATGACAACTACCGTCGATATGAAAACTGAGGATATCCTCGAGTTTTTTCCCCCCAAATATCGTAAAAATTTCTGAAAGAATCGTCAAATCATTTGACTCCCTTTAGGGGCATATTCCGCTCTTAAATTAAACGTATTCAAAGGAATTATTGATATCACTGTGTGGTATGTCTCCATTTTCACTTTATTTGTTGCATCCTAGTTAATATGAACAGTGTGCAATTGTGCCAAAATGTGTAGCATTGGCTCAGTTTTCCATATTTTTGTCTTTCTTTCCTCATCTAATTTTGCAATACCTAATAAAAAGTGTAAACTTTTAAGTTACTTATTTTTAACTTAAACTTTTAACTTAAAAGTTAAACTTTTCCATACGAAGGAACGTGACTCCATTACGTAAAAGACTGCAGGACTAACTTAAATTTTCCAATTTTTTAAAGGATGTAACTGTGCGATTTCTGTCCAAAATTCTTTCCATCTTTGCACGTAATCACACACAAAAATCAGTGCAGCTTTCAGTGAGAAATGT